CACCAGATCTTGTGTGAGACACAGGAGGGGGGGGGGGTGATTTAATTTGGGACTTGACTCAGGAGCAACAGAAGCACGAGTGGGTTTAGCAAAATCCTCCCAAATTCATGCTAACAAAGCCCCTGGAGCAGCATTTGTATTTGCATCAGGCTACAAAAAAAAAAAAAAATTATTCTATTTTAGGGAAGCTGCTGGAGTTCCTACACACATTGTTGTACCCAGCCTTAGTTACCAGGGCCCATCTGCACCCAGCCGAGGTTATATTTAGATGTTTGTTTCTGGAAGTGACTTTGACCTTTTAATTAGAGTCTTGTATCTAAGGACCTTCCAGAGTTACAAGTGTGGGGGCTCTCAAATCATCTGCCTCGTTTCCTGCTGCAGAAATGTCATTTCTGGGGAGCCACCAGGGGGAAATTCTACAGCAAAGGGCAGGGACAGGTAACACAAAGCAGAGGACTGGGCAGGAATGGAAGCAGAAAAACCCTGGTGGGCAGATGGCAGGAAATGGTTGGATTATCTCTATTTCAAGACGTGATATAAATCAAATAAAAGCTTTTTCCACCAGCATCTCAGCTTTCCTATTTCCACGAGGAAATAATTTCCCCTTGTGTAAGCAGTTCACAGGTTGGCATCAGCCAGCCTTGCAGAAGTTCTGTCAACCCAAGAAACTTGGACACAGCCCTTTGGGTACCTGGTTAAACTGCAGGGACAGAGGGAGGGACAGGCAACCTTTCCTGAGGGCTGGAACCCTCCCAGTCCTGCAGGGGGGTCATGGAAAGGAGGGACAGGGACTTTGGGCACAGGGAAGTAGTGACAGGACACAGGGAATGGCTTCCCAGTGCCAGGGGGCAGGGGGAGATGGGACATCGGGAAGGAATTGTTGGCTGTGAGGGTGGGGAGGGGCTGGGATGGAATTCCCAGAGCAGCTGTGGCTGCCCCAGCCCTGGGAGTGCCCAAGGCGTGGCTGGATCAAAGGAGCAGCCTGGGATAGTGGGAGGTGTCCCTGCTCATGGCAGGGGTGGCACTGGGTGGGCTTTGAGGTCCCTCCCACCCAAACCATTTCAGGATTCTCTGCTCTCACCCCTGTGTTTCCTCCAGTCCAAGGCAGGGGCTGGCACAGCCCAAACCAATGAACAGTCACCCAGGAATGGCAGGTGAGGAATTCCTTTGACAAATCCTGGCCTAGAAACCAGGGAAGCGACTGCATGAAACGTGCCCCTGCCTCTCAGTGCACACCAAAGGAGAGTGTGTCCCGTGTTCCTTTCCATCAGCACTGCAGGGAGAGCACAAGGGGGGAGGAGAACTTCCCTTTCTTCCCACTCCTCATCTGCCCAGGGTCAGAACAACCCAGGGCAGCAGCTCATCCACAAACATCCCCTGGAAAATCCACAACCATCCCCTGCAGACCCTCCCAGGGTCACCCCAGCAGAGCTGACCCAGCCCCCCTTTGCTTTATCAACACCAGCAGTTACCCCAGCTCAGGGAATTCAGGTTTATTCTGCCCTGGCCATTTCCTCTGGGCGAGTTCTTATCCCTCACTGATGGCCTGGACAGCTGCAGGGTGAGCAGAGCTCAGGAGAAGCCCCTGGTCCTACAGGTCCTCATGAAAACATCCCAGTTAATTAACAGGTTCTTTTGGCTTGGCTTAAAAATAAAAAAATGAAATAAAATAAAATAAATAAGAATAATCACAATTCACATCAACTACAGATCAGCCAATTTAAGCAGCTTCACAAGCACAACCTCATGTTGGAAGCTCCAGCCAGAAGGGGCCTTTGAGCTTGGTTGGTGTCATTATTGCAAGTCTTGCAAACAACATCCAGTGTGATCTCCTGAGTTTCTCCAGAGCAGAGTTGGAAAATGGAGGAGGGAGAGGGGGAAACGGATCTGGAGGGAACACAGAGCAGTTTCCCCTTTCCTCAGGGAAAATTCCAGCCCAACTTCAACATGGTTGTAGGATTTAATAAGAAGAGACATTGAACAGCCCCAGCCATCACATCTGTGTTCAGGCAGCTGTTTGTGGCACTGATGGAGAGTCTGAAGGAACCGAAAGCCAAATGGAATAGAAACCTCCCCAAACCCCCATCCCTGCTCCAGCCTCTGCCATGACCCTACAAACCTCCCCAAACCCCCATCCCTGCTCCAGCCTTTCCCATCCACTTTCCCAGCCTCCCCAAATCGATTCCTGTCCGGGCCATTCCCTTAAGGGTTGGACTCAGTGGTCCTTGTGGGTCCCTTCCAACTCAGAATATTCTGAGATTCAATCCCTGTCCCCGCTCCAGTCCCTCCATCAGCCTTCCAAGAAGACACACTGGTCTGGGCCAGCCAGCCAATGGAGTTTGGAGAGCAGGTTTAACTTGGAGTCTTTACAGGGGTACAGGATTAAATCAGGGGATTTAATCTCGGAATATTGAGTTGGAAAAGACCCACAAGGACCACTGAGTCCAAGTCTTAAGGGAATGGCCCGGACAGGGATCGATCTGGGGAGGTTGGGAAGTGTCATGGCAGAGGCTGGAGCAGGGTCAGGGCTTTGGGGACATTAGTTAGGGTCATGGCAGAGGCTGGAGCAGGGTCAGGGCTTTGGGGACGTTTGCAGGGTCATGGCAGAGGCTGGAGCAGGGTCAGGGCTTTGGGGACGTTTGCAGGGTCATGGCAGAGGCAGGGAGGATGGCTGCTGATTCCCAAGGGCCCTGCTGCAGTGCCAGCAGCCTGCCCAAGCTGGACCCCTCAGCCTGCCCAAGCTGGACCCCACAGCCAGCCCAAGCTGGACCCCACAGCCTGCCCAAGCTGGACCCCACAGCCTGCCCAAGCTGGACCCCACAGCCTGCCCAAGCTGGACCCCACAGCCTGCCCTGCACCCTCCAAGGTGGCCCAAACCTTCTGCAATTCAGCCACGCTTCCAGGTTGGCATTTGGGGGCAGGTGTGGGTGTTGTGTATATCCTTTTTGCTGCAGTGCCCCAGGAGCCAGCCCAGCCTTGCAGCCCCCCCTTGCAGCTCAGGCAGGTTTGTACCGTGTCCTGCTGGCCCCTGGCAGCCCTGGGGACACTCTGGCAGTGATAGCACCACGGGAAGAGCCTCCCACCCTGCCTGGCCCATCCCTCCTGGAATCCCACAGCCCATCCCTCCTGGAATCCCACGTGCAGAGGCCCTTTGGCCCAGGCTCAAGAAGCC